TCTCAGAGGGTGTTACATGCCACGTATTTTCAGTGTTCCACGTGCACAGACAACCTTCCATACAAGCCACCTTCTGAAAAAGCTTTCAGGAGAAAACATGCATATACAGGCATTTGGAAGTAGTCCTGAGTGCACTGGAGTGGTCAAGCTCAAGGAATCTGGGTGTGCCTTGGAGAGTGTACGTTATACATAATAATTTGTATCTATATCCCCAATGAAACGTATCCTAAGAACAACGAGAAGCATGAAGAAATCCAAAACTCTATTCAATAACTTGGTAATAATATTTGGTGTTGGTGTTTATAAGTATTATATATGTGTTGTAGGTTAAAGCAAATAAATGTGTTGATGTCCTTAGGAACTGGTATTTTCAGGATGAGAGAAAGATACAGAGCAGAAACAAAGACGTTAAGTTTAACAACTGCATTCTTTTTTCTTTTTTTTTTTTAAGATTTTATTTATTTATTTGAGAGAGAGCAAGAGAGCACACGTGTGCACTCAAGCAGGGGGGAGGGGTAGAGGGAGAAACAGACTCCCGGCCAAGCAAGAAGCCTGATGCAGGACTCGATCCCAGGACTCTGGGATCATGACCTGAGCTGAAGGCAGGCACTTAACCAAATGAGCCACCCAAGTGCCCTAAAAACTGCATTCTTAAAATTGGATTATAACTATCAGTATTAACCTGTTTAATTGTCTCCCTCCTTAAAAAATACTTACTTCATAGCCCTGTCTGTCGCCCAAAAAGGACCTGGAGGCAGTGACAACCCAGTAGTAATGAGCACCACTAAAACACAGATTATAGTCTCTTAATAGCACTTCCACAAAAAACAACCAGGGCTGCATAGGGCAATGACAGATTCCGGATCTTGGACAGGAAATGTGCAAAATGAACATGGACTATTTCGTTGTGTGAAAAGCAAGGAAGCTATCGATGTTTACTGAAATTATATAAAAAAACTCAGGAACTAATTTCAAGGAGGCTCCCACTGGCTAAAGATGAGATGATTTGAGCATTAAAAAGTATAAAAATAAAAATAGATGACATTGGGCGCCTGGGTGGCTCAGTCGGTTGGGCGACTGCCTTCGGCTCAGGTCATGTCCTGGAGTCCCTGGATCGAGTCCCGCATTGGGCTCCCTGCTCGGCGGGGAGTCTGTTTCTCCCTCTGACCCTCCACCCTCTCATGTGCTCTCTCTCATTCTCTCTCTCTCAAATAAATAAATAAAATCTTTAAAAAAAAAAAAAGATTGACATCTATCAATCCATGTTAAAAACCGTACTTTTATAATGATACAAAAATAAAAGAAACTTCATTGGTCACCTCTGGGGGCTACTAAGGCACCAACTCATTGTTCTAAAATCTAAAGGAGAGTAAGCAAAGACATTTTTACCCTGCCTTTCCTTTATGAACTGTATGTCAAAATAACCAAAAATAGTTGGAAGGAAAAAATAATTTCAACTGATACAGACAGAAGGAATAGTAACATTAGTAGTCACCAGTGTATAACCCCTGGTGGAACGATGGGTCTAGACATTATTATCTACATTTGTTAAAGATTTGGGCTAAAGGCTGGTAGAGAACTTCATAGTAGATAGATCAAGCTGACAACACATAAAGCCAGTAGTCAATCGTAACACCATAAAAAGAAATAGCTAGATATTACATGCCTCCTAATGTAATGCATTAGGAAGTTGTTGGCAACACCTATGAAGTATTCTTGGTGTTGATTATGAACACCATATGAAACACCATATGAAAATCATGAACCTGGTTCTAACCAACTAGATCCTTTAGATCCAGCTGCAGGCAATATAGGGGAAAGAGTATCATTTCAAATGATACAACAGGAATATATGCAAGAATATGGAAAATTCTGCAGGTTTTTCTGGCAGACTTGGGTTTTTTCAACAAATAAATATTAAGAAAAATAAGAGGAAAGGGAAACTCTTAGAAAAGGAGATGTAAAAGAAATAGCAAGGGGTGCCTGGCTAGCTCAGTCAGTAGAGCATTCAACTCTTGATCTCAAGGTCCTGAGTTCAAGCCCCACATTGGGCATGGAGCCTACTTAAAAAAAAAAAAAAAAAGACCTAGCAACAAAATGTAACTTATGGATCTTGTTTACATCCTTATTCAAACAAACCAATTATAAGATGATTATCTGTGAGACAAGCAGGAAAATTTGAATACTGACAAGTATTAGATAATATTAAAAGAATTATTATTAAATTTTAAGTATGATAACAGTGGATCGTGGATCACCACATCAAAAACCAATGATGTATTGTATGATGACTAACATAACATAATAAAATTTAAAAAGAAAAAAGAAAGAAAAGAAATTTTAAGTATGATAATGAGATTTTGATTATGTTTAAAAATAATTTTTTTAAGAGAAGAGAGAGAGAGAGCACAAGCGGGGGACAGTGGGCAGAAGGAGAGGGAGAGAGAGAATCTTAAGCAGGCTCGGCCGAGCACGGAGCCCAACATGGGGCTCGATCTCACAACCCTGAGATCATGACCTGAGTCGAAATCAAGAGTTGGATGTTTAACCAGCTGAGTCACCCAGGCACCCCTTGATTATGTTTAAAAAATAATTCTTAATTCTTTTTTTTTTTTTTTTGAGACAGAGAGAATGAGAGAGAGAGAGCACATGAGAGGGGGGAGGGTCAGAGGCAGAAGCAGGCTCCCTGCCGAGCAGGGAGCCCGATGCGGGACTCGATCCAGGGACTCCAGGATCATGACCCGAGCCGAAGGCAGTCGCTTAACCAACTGAGCCACCCAGGCGCCCAATTCTTAATTCTTAAGTATACATGCTGAGGTAGTTTTTTTTTTTTTAAGATTTTTATTTATTTGACAGAGCACAAGCAGAGGGAGAGAGAGGGAGAAGCAGGTTCCCCACCGAGCAAGGAGCCCGATATGGGACTCGATCCCAGGACCCCAGGATCATGACCCGGGCCGAAGGCAGCCGCTTAACCGACTGAGCCACCCAGGCATCCCACATGCTGAGGTAGTTGTGAATGAAATGACAGTGTCTAGCTTTGCTTTAAAATAACGTAGTGGATGGGGCGCCTGGGTGGCTCAGTCGTTAAGTGGCTGCCTTCGGCTCAGGTCATGATCCCGAGGTCCTGGGATTGAGCCCCGCATCGGGCTCCCTGCTCTGCGGGGAGCCTGCTTCTCCCTTTCCCACTCCCCCTGCTTGTGTTCCCTCTCTCACTGTGTCTCTCTGTCAAATAAATAAATAAAATCTTAAAAAAAATAAAATAAAATAATGCAGTGGATGGTAGAAGTATAAATGAAACACTGGTTGATAATTGTTAAAGTCCCAGGATGAGTACTTTGTATTTTTCTTTTGAGAGAGAGAGCAAGCATATGTGAGCAGCGGGGGAGGGTAAAGGTGGGGAGAAGAGAATTTTAAGCAGGTTTCACGCCCAGCATGGAGCCCAACTTAGGGCTTGATCTCATGACCCTGAGATCATGACCTGAGCCAAAAATCAAGAGTTGGACACTTAACTGACTGAGCCACCCAGGCACCCATGTACTTTGTATTTTTAAGGTGTGTTATAAACGTTTTTTTTTTTTTTTTAACCCAAGCCTGTATACTCCCTGAAAAGTCTTTGTGCACTCCTGGGGTTTCATGTACCCTAAACTGAAGTTCACTACGGCACTTAGCAGTATCAAACGATCTGGGAGGAGTTATACCTACCTGGCAGAAAGTTTAGGGATGAATTTGTTATAGGCTCCTAAAAACTAAGCAAATAAAAAGAATAAGACAACTAGGGGCACCTAGCTGGCTCAGTCGAAAGAACATGCGACTCTTGATCTCAGGGTCATGACTTCAAGCCCCACACTGGGTGTAGAGATTACTTAAATAAATAAAAACTTTAAAAAAGACAGAGAGACAATTAAAAATTGGGGGGGGAAGCTGTACAAGAAAGGAAAGATAATCATGATATATTACGTGGCCCAGTTGTGAACAATGCTCCTTTGGTCATAATAATATAAATGCTGAATACTGATAAAATAAAAGATTTTGATGTGTCTATGATAAGAGGATGTAAGGAAAGGAAGTATGAATGGCAGGTGGAGGGAGATGTGAGAGCTAAACCATCATCTTCCATAGTAGTAGATATATTCATAATATATAAAACTGAAAAAAAAAAAGAAATAATCGTATAAGCATCTTATTTAGAAACACAGAGAGAGGGCACCTGGGTAGCTCAGTTGGTTAAGCGTCCAACTCTTTTTTTTTTTTTTAAAGATTTTATTTATTTATTTGAGAGAGAGAGAATGAGAGAGAGCACATGAGAGGGGGGAGGGTCAGAGGGAGAAGCAGACTCCCCGCCGAGCAGGGAGCCCAATGCGGGACTCGATCCAGGGACTCCAGGATCATGACCTGAGCCGAAGGCAGTCGCTTAACCAACTGAGCCACCCAGGCGCCCCAAGCGTCCAACTCTTGATTTCAGCTCAGGTCATGATCTCAGGGTCGTGGGATCAAACCCCGTGTCAGGCTCCGTGCTGTGTGTGGAGCCTGCTTGAGATTCTCTCTCTCCTTCTCCCTCTGCCCCTCCCTGCTCAACACAGTGAGAAATGTCCAAAGAATCAGCTATAATAGTTAAAAGTGGTTGGCCTGTAATTTTTTTTCTAGGAGAGGAAGCAAGAGGATCTGATTTTTAGTTCTCTACCTTATATGACTTTTTGGACAACGTACTTCAGGAAGGAGGGGAGAGAGGGAGGGAAATGACAAGATCTGATCTGTATTTTAACATAATCACCAAGGTCTGTCAAGTGCACGTGGCAAGGATCAAGGAGCGGTCAGTGAGGCCAGTTGGCAAAGCTATTACAGTAAGAAGTGTCATAATAAAAATTACACAGAGGAGAAAACTGGAGATGAGAGATTGAGGTGAGTCTAGCTGAGTGAACCGTAAGGGCGGGTATCACACTAGAAAGTAACTTGCCATCTCTATGTTTCTCTCTTCTCTCTCAACTTTGCCTTGACGGAAGCTAAGCCCTCTCTTCCAGAGGTTTCTGGCCCCTCCAACAGGGCCAGCCCAGGCCAGAGAGTGAATCTCACCTGCACATCAACTGGCTTCTTTCCCAAAAACATACAGCTGAAATGGCTTGAAAATGATGTGGAGCTTCCGGCATTTCAGACTCTGGTCTTCCTGCCTAGAGATGCTGGATCCTACACCATCGTCAGCACGGTGCTGGTGACCCTTGACTTATCCTCACTCCACTCCCAGCTCACCTGCCAAGTGGCTCACAGTACATTGCAGAGCCCCCTCAGTAGGCACGTGAACATCTCCAAATTCCTCCAGGGTAAGGGCCCCCACCCCCCACCCCCCACCCAAATGGCCAACCCTTGGTGACCACCACCGGTTCCCTGTTTGGTGCACTTCACCTGCATCCTCCCATTTATTCTTTACCAAACCCCACATAAGATGGGTACGAGGTTCCCTATCTTATCCGACCATCCTCTTCTTACGAGATGCCATCTTGCTCTCTTGTATTTGGGAAGTGGAAGCTCATTCATTCATTCAACAAGTTTATTGAGCATCTGCGATGTGGCAGTATTATTCTACGTGCTACAGAGTCCGTGGTAAACAGACCAGACCTAGTTCTACTCCACTAAGCTCACAATCACACGAGCCCCATCAACAAGATGCAAAAACTATACAGTTATAACTTTATTTTAAAGATTTATTTGTTTGAGAGAGAGAGTGCTGGGAGGAGGAGCAGAGGGAGAGGGAGAGAGAGATCCCAGGCACACTCCCCGATGAGCATGGAGCCCAGTGCGGGGCTCAATCTCACAACCCTGAGGTCATGACCTGAGCCAAAACCAAGAGTCGGACGCTTAACCGACTGAGCCACCCAGCCGCCCCACACGCTTCTAACTTATAACATGTGCTATGAGAGAAAAGAACTGAGTATTAAAATAGATGAAAACAGGAGAAATGTAGTATACTGAGGAAATGCCTTTTTGGAGAAGTGATATTTGAATCACGGCATGAAAGATGAAAGGGGGTCAGCCAAGGAAAAAGTGGAGTGTTCCAGGCAGAAGAAACAGTGGGTGCAAAGGCCCTGTGACAGGGGTGGGGAGCGAGACATGTTTGAACAGTAGAGAGGAGGAAGAGGTCCATGTGGTCAGGGCTTGGTGAGAAGAAGGGTGCATGGAGAAGGAGGAGGCTGGAGAGAGAGGAACAGGAACAAGACCACACAGGGCCTCAAGCCACAGCAAGGAAGTTTCTCCCCCTTGCACTGTCCACGTGAACTCTTAACACCATTGTGCAAGCCACCACGCTTTGCTGCCAGTCTTAAACCCACCCCCGCATCAGGGGAGGGGACAATGCAGGAGGCAGTGCAAGACTACACCCCCGCCCCCCTTGCTCTGACTTCATAAGGATTGAGGTCATTACTGCAGTGTTCAATATGGAAGGAAAGTAAACGAAGGAAATCACCCTTTCTGCTCTGGAAGTCCGCAGCCTGGCCTGGGCAAGGGTGTCCCCAAGGGGTCTGCACTCTCCTCAGCCGCCACCTCCCAGCAACCTCAGAGGGCAGAGACCCACTCACTTCCTGCAAATGGGCACATCCTTTCCAGGGCTCCAGAGTCCCAATGCTCCTTCTCCGTCTGCTCCAGCCAGAGCAAAGCAAAGAGAAAACCCATTAACAGCATCACAATCTCCACAACAAGCCCCCTCACGACTGGAGATAATTTGTGGTACCAAGGTAAAGAGTTTAGCTCGTCATTTTGGAAATGCCTCCCTCCCTAAGTAGTAGTCTGCCCTTGCTTAGCCAAAAGATACCACAAAAGGGTTCCAGCTTGGAAATGGAATTCTAGCCTCCATCTAGAGCATCCCAAAGAAGCTATGTGTCCCTGCTTCATGCAGATGAGGAAATCAAGGCTCAGAGAAATGAAAGGACTTGTCCAAGGTCACATGGCTCTTAAGTTTGTGAGCTGGAATTTGAACCCAGTAATACATCTCTTGGATGATCACGTCAGACCTTCCTCCTATAAGAAGTCCCCATGCAGAGATACCAGAGCAAGGCAGAGTCCCCCTTCCCCAGGGAAGGTGCTTTGGTCATGGTCAGCTAAGAGATGGGCATTGTACTGCTCTCTGCACTCTCTCCAAACCCCTGGCTCCTCCTCTTTCCCCATACCAATGAAGAGACACTCCATCAACCCAATCATCCAAGCCAGAGACCTGTTTTACCCAACCCATCACCAAGTTCTACCAAATTCACTTCTCACATCTCTCTGACCCCATCCATTTCTTTCTACTGTCACTGACCAGGTTCATCCCCAAGTTCAAGGCAACCTGGACACCACAGCCCCCTTCTCTCATATCCACCATTACCCTCAACAGTGCAGCCCCCAAATCCCCAGCAGTCAAAGACATTTTATAAAGGAAGCCAAGTCTTGTCCCTCCTTTCCTTAAAACCGTTCGGTGGCTCACCACTCCTCTTACAAAAATAAAACAAAATAAAATCCTTATCAGGGCGTTCAACAGCAATCCTCAAACATTTTTATTCATATACCCCTGAGGTAATTGTGAAGAACTATGTAGTGCCTCATATATTTTAAAGTTAACATCCAGAATTGTTCATCACAGACTTAAATAGTTGCACGGGCCAGAACCCCTGGGATATTACAAATGTTACATCTCTCTGAAATGTTCAACGGAAAAATAAAGCCATACTGATTTGATTTCCACCATCATCCATTACAACAGACATAAACAAGCTCTTTAATAATCAGAAATTTTATAATATTCCTTTTTCCTCCTAAATTTGTATTTCCATTCTAATTCCTGGGGAGAACTTTATCCTACTGTAAATATATTTTGTATTTGAAAGTCCTTATTGACATCATCACACATATCATAGAGAACTCTGAGAAAACAGAGGACTACCATAAATACATACGTATTGAATTTTATATATAACAAATTACATATAACTTATTATATATAATATTCATTATATATATAAATTAAATTTTTAAAACTTTTTCTTATTACCATAGGCTCTAAGTGTTAAAAAATTCTTTTGGATTGAATTACACAATTGATCAAAACTATCTAAATATCCAACAAATTCTGATAAACAGTTATTAAAATAACCATTAAAATGTTATCAGAAACGCAGTTCAGTGAGCTAGATGGGGGAGATTATGATGCTTTGATTAAAGTAGGCTTTCCGGCCAGCAGGATTTTTGAACTGTCCTTTTATTTTGTGTCCCAGAGTCTTTACACCAAGGGCACTGCACCATAGCTAGATTCAGGACGTGTGGGAGGAAGGCCTTCCCTCTGTAATGTTGGGAGAAGGCCTGAGAACAGGAGACAGGAGTAGGCATTCTCAGGCAGATCAATTTCAGGAAAGAATCATATGATTCAGAAATGAATTGTATTAAACAACCAATGTATGGACTCCTTAGGATGTCGTTATGTGCTCTTAGGGGTAAGTAAAGCACCAGTAAACGCAGACAGTCTTTATGGTCACTGGTCATCTTGCCCATGCTCCCCCTCACTCACTCTGATCATCTTTCTGGCCTTGGACACACTAGGCTTCACCTCAGGGCCTCTGCCCATGCCCTACCCTCTGCCTGAGATGCACTTTCCCACACCTACCCTCGCCCAGAGCCTTCCTTCCTCTGGCCCTCCACCAGCCCCTTTGGCCTAATGTTCCAGTTACCAAGACTGCATAACAGATTTTCCCCAAACATATTTCAGTGCTCTAAACTTACTCCAGATCTCCCAAATTATGATGCTCACATATTCTGTAGGGCAGGAATTTGGAGAGGGCCTGGCAGGGATGGCCTATCTCTGCCCCATGATGTCTGGGACCTCACCTGAACGACTTCACAGCTGAGATTATCACAAAGCTGCCTCACTAACACGTCTGGCCATCAGTGCTGGCTATGGGCTACGGGCTTCAGTTCTTCTTGGCATCGGCCTCTCCTGATCATCTTTCCATGCGGGCTGGTTAGAGCATCCTTGTAGCTTGATGGCTGTGTTCCAAAAGTGAATGTCACAAGAGTCCCAAGGGGAAGTCACATCAACTTTGATGACCAACCCTTGGAAGTTACAGTGTCACCTCTGCTATACTCTCTTCATCAGGCAGTCACAAAGTCCCACCCAGCTTCTAGGGCAGAAGTAGACTCCCCTTCTGGTGGGGAGTGGCAAGGTTCCGGAAGACAGCTGGGAATTTGCTGTGGCCATTTTTGGAAAATACAATTTGCCACACGTAGTTAACTCCTATTCATTTTTCATACTTCTGCTGAAAGGTCCCTTCTTCCAGAAACTCTTCCCTAACCTGCCCCACCGCCAGACCAGGTCAGGTGCCCCCGTGTAGGTTCTCAGAACCCCTCCGAGGCTCACGTGACTGCTTTTCTTCTTCCCTGTTCTCCCCACTGGAGCAAGAGCTATGTGTGTGTCTGTCTTGCTTACTACTGTATCTCAGGAACCAAGGGCAGTGCCTAGAAAGGTAAGGATGCTCCTTGAGCTTCTTTTGCTTGAGGGAAGGAAGGAACAAAGGAAGGGCTCTTGTTTCAGTTATACCCACAGTGACTATTTCGGCCCACCGGGTCCCTAGCCTCCAGTTGGCCATCCTCACCTGCCACGTGCAAAGGTTCTACCCTGAAGTCATACAAATCACCTGGCTGGAGGTGAACAGACGCTTTAAGGCCTGTGAGGCTCCCACCCCCACCAAGAACCCGGACGGCATATTCAACCAAGACAGTCACATCCTGGTTTACACCTCAGAGGACAAAGAGCTGTTCACCTGCGAAGTGCGGCAAGAGGCCCAGCCACCGATCCAGGCCCACGTGCGGCTGAGTGAGTCCAGAGACCAGCCAGCGTGTTTGGGTGAGTAGGGGTGGAATAACCCAGCAGTTAAAGGTTCCGACCTGGACACAGACAGGCCAGGTTCACATGCTGGCTCTGCCATGTTTGTCATGTGTGACCTTGAAGAAGTCACTTCACCTTTCGGTACCTCAGTTCCTTCATCTATAAAATGGGACAGCAGTTAGAGCAACCTCCGCAGAGTGTGCTGCCTTAGGGACCAAAGAGCTGTTATAAGCACTGCTTTCGTCACATAGCGGGATCCTGACCGCACAGCCACAGCATTGGCTCTTCCAGTGACTAGGTTCATACGAATTATCGTCCCCCATTTCCACCCACCCTCTCAAAAGCCATTCAGATTCAACAACTACTGAGTGCCTATTAGGTATTCTGTTTGGTGTTCTCCTTTGATACAGGAACATTCTTTTTTTTTTTTTTAAAGATTTTATTTATTTATTTGAGACAGAGAGAATGAGAGAGAGAGAGCACATGAGAGGGGGGAGGGTCAGAGGGAGAAGCAGACTCCCTGCCGAGAAGGGAGCCCGATGCGGGACTCGATCCTGGGACTCCAGGATCATGACCTGAGCCGAAGGCAGTCGCCCAACCGACTGAGCCACCCAGGCGCCCGATACAGGAACATTCTAAGGTATACGTTATCATCCCCATTTTAAAGACTAGGAAACTGAGGCTTAGAGAGGTGAGGGGATTCCCTCCCAGTCCAAGGTGTAGTCTTGGTACCTGAGTCAGGGGTGAGGCTGGGCCTGCCTAGGGGTTGAATGGTGGGAGCCAGAAGCCACGTTCATCCTAGTATCTTTCCAGATGCCAGGGCGTCCAGCTCCCTCTCTGGGACTCTCATCCTGCTTGGCTGGAAGCTGTTTTCCTTGACTACACTTTGCATCATCTATGTCCTCAAGAGGAGATTCTCTTCCAAGTAAGGGGGACCTCAGATAGGGGTTGGGCTTCCCGGGGGCCGGGAGACTCCAGGCCAACAGGGGGCACTGTGAGGGAGAAGCCACACAGCACTCCCATTTCTTTCTCTCTCTTTTTTTTTTTTAAGATTTTATTTATTTATTTGACAGAAAGAGCACAAGTAGGGGGAGTGGGAGAGGGAGAAGCAGGCTCCCCGCTGAGCAGGGAGCCTGATGCGGGGCTCGAACCCAGGACCCTGGGATCATGACTCGAGCCGAAGGCAGCTGCTTAACCGAGCCACCCAGGCGCCCCATCAGCACTCCCATTTCACACTGACCTTGAAGGCATGTGGAATCCAGAGCGTCCCTATAAGAGCCACACCCCAATCCCTTCAACCTTCCCCTCTGCCCCTCACAGCTCCAGTCTGAAGGTGCACAGAGATGCAGGCTCCCCTGCTCCGGGCAGGGGAAGCATTGAAGGAGGGAGAGTTGATATGGAGACAACACTCCGGAGGTGGTCTGTGAGGAGAAGTCTGAGAACAAGGGCTTTGCCCCAGCTCCCTGCTTCCCCTGCAGGTCACAGGTGCCACAAGGCCCTCCTCAGGAACACAGGGCCCTCAGTCCCCTCCTGTTTTATTTAGGAGGAGTGATCCAGGAGAGGCACTGGCCATGAAGTCTGCAACCACTACCAAAGCTTCTCCTGCCTCACCAGCCTTCTGAGACCTGTCCTGCGCTGGCTGTCCCTTGCTGTCTCCTGCAGGCCCCAGAGAAAGTGAGAGCCTGGACCGGGAGGGTCAGGAGTGAGAGGGAGGCTCTCACATCCTATGAAGGAAAGAAGCTTCTCCGGGGATTCTGGGCATGAAGTTCATGACCCTGAGCAAGAAACCCAGCAGAGGCAAAACAAGCTCCTACCCCGGGAGAAACACAAACCTGCAATTCTGAAGGCCCCTCCCCGACTCCTCGAGGAAAGCCCATGGTGGGCACCCAAACTGGCATGAAATCTTTACAGCTCCATCATTAAAATGGGATTAAAAGAAACATTTATGGCCAATAAACATATGAAGAGATGTCCAATCTCATTAGTAATCAGGAAAAGCCAAAGCAAAACCATTTTCTCCCTATTCCAGGAGAAAAAAATAAAGAAGCAACTGGCTCCTTCTTATGTTGCTGATATGTATGTAAATCGGCACAACTACTTTGGAGAACAGTTTGGAAAATTTGAACTTGGACATTTGCATTCTCAATAACCTGCTATTTCCGCCTTTGAGTTACATACATACCCTAAAGAAACTCTTCACCTGTGCTCCAGAAGATGAATATTCAAGTATATACATGGTAGCATGATTTCAAATTAGAAAAACCTGAGAGAACCATCCAAATGCACATCCACAGGATGACGGGCAAATAATGTAGTACAATCCCAGAATGGAGTGTTATACAGCAATAAAAATGAATGAACTATAGCTACACACAATAATATGGATAAATCTTAGCAAAAAAATATTAGAGTGAGTACGCCCCAAAAGATTTCATACAGCATGATACTATGTTTATAAAGCTAAAAACATCTAACAAATGGTTTTTAGGGATACATATAAAAATGATAAACCCATATTTTTTCCAAAAGGATGAACTCAAGATTTTAAATAGTAGTTACCTGAGGTGGGGGCAGGGAAAAGGATGAAAAGGGTGGGTGTGTATAGGTAGATGGAAGTTAATATCAGGATTCTAGCTTCCATGCTGGGTGGTGGCTTCATGAATGCTTATATCATTATAAATTAAAAATAGAAAAACAACAGAAGATTGATAAATAGGTATGTCAATAGATAGGTAGAAGACATGCAGGTTATTGGAAGGAAAGAAGGGAGGGAGGGAGGGAAGATGGATGGATGGATGAATGGATAAGTAGATTAATAAATGAGGGTCATTAATGGATCAATGATAAGGGTGTGATGAAGCAAGAATGATGATAGGTACAATTCTACGTACTTACGATCCAAAGGAAAAATAAATAGAAGGACAATACCTAAAGAACCCCAAGTTCCCTTCCTATTATGACATTTACAAATCCACATTAGGAGGAAAGCATAGTTGATGGGTGTCACCACAGGTCCAGCACTTCGCAAGCAGGATCTTATTTCATCCTTATACCAATCCCACAAGGTGGACACCATTCCCCACTTTGCGGTGAGGAACCTGAAGGAACCTACTCAGTGTTACTCAGATAACAAGTGGTGAAACCAAAAAATCCAGATTCAAACCCAGCTCTGCTCAGTGCTTTCCAGGGAGCCACACTGCCTACTGTCTGTGGACAGATGGGGAGACTTTGACTCGCCCTCATTCTACTGCTTCCCAATGTCCCGGGCCTGCTGTTCTACACGAAAGCCCACCCCGTGCCTCTGAGTGGGGAGCAGAAGGGAAGAACACGTGCACTTTTCCAGTCGTGGAGTAGATCTAGGATTAGTCCTGAGCCCCAAAATAGCCCTGATAAAGATCTGGGGGAGGTAGTGTAGGCCAAGTTCTGGAGAAAGGCTCTCTGTAGAAGGATAAATATGCCCAGTGGAAATAGGCATCCTACTGTGTTTGTTTCACTGTGGCCTTGAACCTTTGTAGACACAAAGACGGGGGTGCTGAGCCCAACCTCCATTCCCCCCTCAGACATGAATCTCCTCTTCAACATTTTCTACTCCCAGTAGAGTGGCTTACACTTCAACATCCCTATCCCCGGCCTCCCATGCTGGGAGCCTTGGGATGCCCTGGCCTCCCTCCCCAACACCTCCCCCCAGAAGCAGGGCCAGGAGAAGGATGAGGCCAGCAAAGTGCCTAGGGAGCAAAATTTAGAGAGACACTCTCTCTGGGTTGAGCAAGGACAGCAAGGACTTGCCACGTCATATTCTGTGTCCTAGATGCCCTAGGTGTCCAAGTCCCATGACTTCTGCTCCCTCCTGTTCATCTTCATGGCTGCTCAGACCCTGATTGGCATGTACCTCGATCACACTAATAGCCTCCTCACAATTGGCACTCTGGAGTTCACTAATCCATACACTACACAGACCTCAGAATGGTCTTTTCCAAACATTTGCCCAACACTTCAATTTAAAAAAAAATACATAAAAAAAACCCCCAAAACTTCAGATAGTTCCTCAGTCCCTAAGTCATACCTTGAGAAGGTGATAGCGAATACCCCAGGTGTCCCATACCTTGATACCAGAGGGAAAATGAAGCAGTCATAAGAGTCCCAGGTTGGACATGAAGATGCCTCATCCCCTTAGGAGAAAGCTCATGTCCTGAGCAAGCCCATAGCTTCCACACAAATAATGGCTCATTGCAAAGAAGGTAATGCCTTCATTTATTCCACAAATATCATTGAGATTATACTATGTAACAGGCACTGTTTAGACACCGAGGAAACACTGGTAGACACTGGTAGGGATGGTTCTTACCTTTGTGGAGTTTACAGTCTGATGAGGACAGATAAAAAGAAAGAAAGGGAGGGAGGAAGGAAGGGAGAAAGTAGGAGGGAAGAAAGACGAAAGTGATACGTGTCCTGAAGAAAATAAAAGGGTGCACAAGATATTGCAGATCGCAATGACCGAGAGCTCCACGGAATCAGGAATTAAATGGCAGCTATCTAGAAAGAACAGTAGAGAAAGCCTTTCGGAAAAGGGAGTATTTGAGCCGCTATCTGAAAGTTGCAAGAGCCTGGGGAAAGACACTCCTGTTACGGGAACCCACTGCACCAAGACCTAAGGTCTGAAGGAGTTTGGAACCTTCAAGGAAGAGGAAGGGGGCCAGTGGGGCTGGCATTGAAGAGTAATGGGACATGGAAAAATGCCGAAGAGATGGACGGGAGACAATCAGATCAGGGCTCCCCCAGCCTCTCCCTCCCCAGTAGTGTCTAAGTTCCCTCTATGACATCAATCTCTGCAGGCATGCGCTACCACGTCCATCACCCTGTGCTGCCTTTAACTACAGATCCACACGAGTGGTGCTAGAATTAACATCTTCCTGATCTCAGGGCTTCCCTACATCCGCTCACTTTCGGCTTTGCCCACAATCCTCCTAAACACATTGGAAAATCTGGCTACTCTGGGACCCCAGGAAACTCTGCAGGGCTGTCTCGGGTCCTCTCCACCCAGGCAGAGCACATATCCAGATCTGCTCTTTTGCCAGGCCAGACCGGGGGCAGGAGCTCCACCAGCCATGTCACCAAGAAGGAAGGCACTAGTCCTGACTCTCCAATCCCTCCAAACTGGAGCTGGGTTTTGCAGGAGGAGCAAGTTGCAGGACCCTCCTCAGGGCCCCACCAGTGTCGGTTCCCTCCAGCTCCCCTCCGCTCCCCCACAGATGGGGCAATATTGCCTTAGTCTCCGAAGTGTGTGTAAGGAGATGGGCAGGCGGCTTGTGGGGCTGGGGGTGGGGGGGCGGACGGAGGGAGAGACTACCTCTGCAGGAGACTGTTTTTCCAAACTTTCGCATCTTTCATCTGGAGCTCAGCCTTTGAAACTCAAAGATGCATTTATACTCTATTTCTGCAATGACAGTCTCCCTTGAGATAGATGCATTACATTTATCTGCTCCCTAACTTGGCCACGATAAAGCACAGGACACTGAGAGAAAGGCATGGGTAAAAACTGGGCTGCAGAGCTCTGCAGTGACACCAACAGGCACATTTTATAACTACATGTCAGAAGTGTTAACTGCCTTAAAATGTATCCAGAAACCGACCACATCTCTCCATCTCCACTGCCTGAATTCACCCTCCTCTTTCCTGCATTGCTGCAATTAGCTCCTCATTGGTCTCCCTGCTTCTGCCCTTGCCTCTCTCATCCATTCTCGATATAGCCAGCAGAGGATCCCTTTAAAACAATAGTTAGATCTTGTCCTTCTTCTACTCCAAAACCTTGTAATAGCTGCTCATATCACTGAGAGTAAACCCAAAGTACTTACCTTGGCCCCCAAGGCTTCTTACCACCCCCTCTCCTCATCCCCCTTTTGTCACTCTATGTTTTTTCCATAAGAATGATCACTTTTCGGGCACTGGGTGGCTCAGTTGGTTAAGCGACTGCCTTCGGCTCAGGTCATGATCCTGGAGTCCCAGGATCGAGTCCCACATCAGGCTCCCTGCTCGGCGGGGAGTCTGCTTCTCCCTCTGACCCTCCTCCCTCTCATGCTCTCTGTCTCTCATTCTCTCTGTCTCAAATAAATAAATAAAATCTTTAAAAAAAAAAAAGAATGATCACTTTTCTAACATACTGCATAATTTACTTATTTACTTTATTTATTATATATTGCCTGTCTCCCCTCACATGCCCCCCATCCAACTATATGTCATCTAAAAAACCCTTACTTTAATTCTAAGGATATATGTAGGCTGAAAGTGAAATGTGGAAAAAGATATTCCATGCAAATGTGAACCTAAAGAGAGTAAGGGTGGCCATACTTATATCAGATAAAATAGACTTTCAGAAAAAAAAAAGTCACAAGAAACAAAGAAGATCATTATATAGTGATAGAAGAATCAAATCATCAGGAATATATGACAAAAATTAACCAAAAAATAGATGTAAGACCTAACTATACGACCTAAAACTAGAAACTTCTAGAGAAAAACATAGGGGAAGAGCTCCATGAGGTTTGGCCACGATTTTTGGATGACACCAAAGCCAAGACAACAAAGCCAAAATAGGCAAATGGGACTACATCAGATTTTAAGACTTCTGTGTATCAGGGCACCTGGCTGGCTCAGTCAGTGGAGCATGCGACTCTTGACCTCAGGGTCGTGAATTCGAGCCCCACGTTGGGTGTAGAAATTACTTTAAAATTTTTTTTTAATTAAAAAAAACCTGTGCATCGGGCGCCTGGGTGGCTGATGGTTAAGCGTCTGCCTTCGGCTCAGGTCATGATCTCAGGGTCCTGGGATCGAGTCCCACATCGGGCTCCCTGCTCCTTGGGAGCCTGCTTCTCCCTCTGCCTTTCTCTCTTGCTCTGTCTCTCATGAATTAAAAAAAAAAAAAAAATCTTTAAAAAAAAAACAAAACAAAACTGTGCATCAAAGAAAACATCAACACGAAGAAAAAGCAGCCTATGGAATGGGAGAAAATATTTGCAAATCATGTATCTATAAGGGGTTAATATCTAGAACATATAAGAAACTTCCACAAATCAACAACAACAAAAATAACCTGATCAAAAATGGGCAAGGAGGGCGCCTGGGTGGCTCAATTGGTTAAGAGACTGCCTTCGGCTCAGGTCATGATCCTGGAGTCCCGGGATCGAGTCCCGCATCGGGCTCCCTGCTCAGCGAGGAGCCTGCTTCTCCCTCTGACCCTCCCCCTTCTCATGTACTCTCTCTCATTCTCGCTCTCTCAAATAAATAAATAAAATCTTTAAAAAAAAAATGGGCAAGGATTTGAATAAACAAACACCACTCCAAAGAAGACATACAAATAGCCAACATATGAAATAGCCAAGCATATGAAAATAGATGGTCAACCTCTCCAAGGAGAAATGGGAAATCAAGAGTCAGACGCTGGGGCACCTGGGCGGCTCAGTCAGTTAAGTTTCCAACTCCTGATTTCGGCTCAGGTCAAGATCTCAGGGTCCTGAGATGGAGCCCTGCGTAGGGTGCCACGGTGAGCGTGGAGCCTACTTAAAATTCTCTCTCACCTT